CGCCAACCGCAGCGACAACAGCAGCATCTTCCCCGCGCCCGGGCTGCCCACCCCCGCGGGGGGCAATGCCAGCGAGTGTGACTGCCACGAGTGGCACTACCGCATCAGAGCCGGCCTCGTCCAAAACGTCGTGAGCAAGGTGAGAAAGGCGGCTTCCCTCAACCCCCCCTCCCTGTCCGGCCCTCACGGACCCTTCCTCCCCTCACGGCTCTACCCCAGCCCTGCTCGGCGCCCGCTCCTCCCAAGCCAAGGGGAGCGAGCTGGACACGACGCGGATCTGTGCGTGCTCCAGGTGCCCCGTGGGTTCCCCCCACATCAGCAGTAAATCCCTCATCCCCATAATCCTTTCCCTCCCTGGGTGTCACGCTGGGTGTCTGCCCTGTGGGTTTGTACCTGGATGCGACACTGAGGTGCAAAGTTATGTCCTGAAACGGGATCCTCGGCGGCTCTTTGGGATCCTGGCAATGGCAGCCATCCTGCTGTCTTGGGATGCGGGTATCCGTGGGAAAGACACTGCAGGTGAGCGTCCCCAGCTAGTGAGGGGAAAGGGCTGTGGAGAAGACTCCGGTTGTGATATCGCTCATCTCTGTGCAAGTATGCTGGAGCACCCATGCAAACCAAAAACCAGGCTGGTTTTCAGGGGAAGCTGATGAGGTGGTCACTGTTGGGAGAAATACCAGACAAAGTTCTGCTGAATTCTTCTTGTTTTGTGCTTACTCCCTTGATAACTGTTTCGGTTGAGCAATAGAAGAAGAAATGCCTCGTGCAAGTTGTGCTCCAGAGGCAGAAAGTGCATGCTGCTCTGTTTTGTGTTGCCTAATGCCATGGTTAGGGTGGAAAATTTCTAGTGAGGAGGGCTGCGCCGCTTTCTGCTCTTACTTCATATTTGCTGAGTAGTGTGTGCAACAAAAAAAAACGCCTTGCCTTTTCACCTGAAAGCTTTTGCTTGTTTATGCTACCTGCCCCACCAAAGCCCCATCATCTCTGGATGGGCCTCAGTGGTATCACCAGGCAACTGGAGCTCTTGGAAATATAAAATGAAACTGTTACACCAGGACAGTAGTTCCCTTAATCTCAAGACCTTCCCGCTAAGATCAGCAAAAATTACTTCCTGCATGGGAGTGGTGTTTTGGATTAACTGTTTTTATGTAGTTGGGAGAAAGAAATGCAGCAATAATCAGATGACTGGCGTGATTGTGCTTTGGTCAGCCGGCATGCATTCATATTAGTCACTGAAAATAATTTCAGTTTCTTTTTGTGTCCCTTGAAAGCGTGTGCAACAGGGGCAAAAGCAGGTAAAGCAAATCTCTCAAAGCCTTGAACCCAGAATGGATTAAAAAAAAACCCCTGCTACGCTCCTTCCATGAGAAAAAACACGGGCACATGGTGGACTGGAATGGTTTGTGATGTAGAAGTGCATAATGAAATTCGACATTTAAGAGAGGCAGATTTTCTTCTGTTTATAACCAGAGACTGAGCTCTTCATATGTTTAGGGTTTAACAGTGATGCTTAAGCACGCGAAAAAGATCTTGAAAGATTTCTTTTTAGTGTAAACTGTAAAAAAAAAAAAAAAAAAAAAAAAATTTTTTTTTTTAATTTTTTGAAGGTCGTCATCAAGTTCACCGCAAAAGGTCAGGGGAGAGTTGGTATGCTATCTTGTTGTATACTGCTTTAAAAATAATAAAGTGTTCTTTGGAAGAACGTGCAGGAAAGGGCAGATCAATTTTGAGGGATAAATAAACAGCTGTGGTCCCTGCTGTCTTGTTTTGTATTAGAAAGAATAATAATCATCTTTTGAGACTACGGGTTTTTCCAGTGTGGAGTTTTTATTTTTGTTGTATGCTCACTTCCAAAAACTTGGCAGCTTTTTCTCTTTGATTTGTAATCCCATGCAATTATAATTAGGTTGTTTTCTCAGGGTCAGGATTCCTCTGTAGTTGGTGCTTTGGTTTTGTTTTGGGGGTTTTCTGGGTGGGTGTGCAGTCTGTTTTTTATACTAATGAAGAAAGAGAGGAAAAATGCAGGCAGAACATCAGTGTAGCTTAATTCGGACTTCCTTTCTTATAAACCCCCAGGAGCTCTGATGCTGTGGGAGCAATTCTCATAACTGCTGACTCCTCTTATGTGTGTCCCACTGTCCTTTGTGAGAAAGAGCTGCCCTGGATGAGTTCAGAAGACTGGATGTTCAGATCTCCCTTAACTCCCCTCAAAAATACGTTTGTTTCTGTAATGTATTATGCAATGTTCTCATCTTTCTACATAGAGTTTTATTAAATCTTAGCCTAATATACGCTCATCTGTGTAGTAGCCAGGGGTTATATTGAAATATCGTAAAGAGAGCCAAAAGCGTATTAATAAAAAATGCACTTTTGTTTGGCCAGTAAATCCCCTTGTTCTCATCTTCAGCGGTCCAAGCTAATCACTGCTGGGTGCTCCACCGCTGCTTCGGCTTCAGAAATGATGAAACAATTGTGGTGGTGGAGCGCAAAGCGTATTTCCTGTACATTTCGTTGATGTTCGTGTGCGCGTGAGACTTCGCTGTCCCCTGTTCCTCGGGAGCAGATCACTGTCCTTAAACTATGATAAACGCCACTGTCTTTGCAGCCTCTCTCCTAATGGTACCCTTCATCAGATGTCCTCTCCCCATCTCTGCTTTCTCAGCTCTCCCTTCCCCAGTGCCCGTTTTCTCCCAGCCTGTGTCATGCTGGGTATTGATGGAGCAGGGATCTTCTTGTCTCCAGCCCCGCTCTGTGCTTTGCTTAGCCCCATTTCTTTTTGGGTCTTTGCTGGAGCCAGGGGTGGCCTGGCACCTTCCTTGAAGAGGGGCATTGCCACGCTAGGCGCTGCTATGGCCCTGACCTCCTTGACTGAGTCACTGGGAATGGTGCTTTTTATAGTGCTGCCAGTCATTAGAACTGGAAATGGTAATAAAGGACGTTCTGCTTATTATTTAACACTGTTGAAATACATCTAGCGAAGGGGTCAGATGCATAATTTAACCACAGGGATTCCAGTGGCCATATTAAATCACCCATCTGAGCTAATGTCCTGACTGGATACATAAATCTTGGACTTTCAGCTTGGTTTGTACATAAATACCTTCTTTTAGGACGATTCACTTGTAAGGCTTTTTTTCATTGAGAAATGCTTCTCTGAGGATTTTTATCTATTCTTTATCACAACGTCACCATTACCACACCACTATAAACAGAGGGCACGTGTAGTGTTTGCGAGATGCGTATCCTAGACTAGCCTTCAGGCAAAAGGCTAGTTAAAAAAAATAATAATCTGTCTTTCACACGGTCCGTGTGTCTCACCACTGTCCCAAGGAAAGATGCTGAGAAATACTCTCCTTTTTTTGCCAAGGGAAACCCATTTGCAAAGTGACGCTTCAGGTAAATTATTTGCATTGACGCAATGAGCAGCATAATGACAACTGGGCATGGGTGGCCGTGAAGCCTAGCAGGAAGCTGGAGCGAGTGCTCAGCAGGGACTTCTAACTCTCTCGTTAACCTCTTTAGCTCCTGGATCTTCTGACCATCTGTGAAGCCAGCTGTAATCTTGGGGCAAAGTTTTCGTGGAAGCTCTTAGTTACAGGATTGATGGTGGTTGGTTTTTTCCCTCCGTTACTAGGATGACCTGTCTGCTGTGTTCGATTGCATTATGTGGTGGGGTTGTTTGTTGTGCCGAATGCTAATTTGTATAATGGACACCAAAAGCTGAGGGACAGGCAAGGACTGAGGCTTGATTAAATTGCAATGGTTGATGGCACAGCATCTCTCCACCCACAGCATTCCAGGTTATTCCACCTCTTGGGGGTGGCGTAGAGAGAAGTGGTTAGTTGAAGGCTACGTTTCAATCACCCCGAGCAATTATGTAATAATATTTCATGTCTAGTCACAAGGGAATTCCTGTTGTGGCTGCTTTTCTGCTCCAGATGCCTCGTTTTCCTGCAATGCCGTTCTCTTGGCTCTCAACTTCCCACTTGATTTGGGTTGAGTCATCTTCTTCCCCAAGTAACATGCCATCATTTTACCTATTTGCTACTGATTTGATTGTTCTCATGCCAATTTGGCAGAGCCTCTAGCAAATTGTCCTCTCCAAAAAAGCTGAGCTTGATTTAGGAGAGCCAAATGGTCCGGGGCATTGCTGCCATGCAGCGAGCACCGAGCAGTGCTGTCTTGGTGTGAACCTGGATCAGTTCAGGCTCAGATGTGATGGATGGTCTTTGCCCTTTGCAAGGTGGGGCATGTCTGTGCCCTACCAGCCTTTCTTGCTCTTGCTTTTATGACAGTTCTGACAATTTTCTGAAGGTATCTTCAGCTGATTTAATTTGCTAACCTGGTAGAAATGTTTCTATATTTTTTCCTGGGTTTTCTGCTGGGTTAATGAAGTGAAATGACTCTGTGCTGTGACACGCACCCTAGACTGTGGTGGTATCTCCTGGGATTATTGCAGGTACCTGCAAGTAGCCAGAAATGGCCATGTGTGGTACCAGTGATATATCTGGCACTGCTTGTAGGGTGGTATTTCTTGCGGGGGGGGGATAGGTGTGCATTGCAAGGGCATTTTCAGAGTGTAGCTATTCATTAATTCAAAGGGGGTCACTCTGACAAGGTCCTTCCCAAAATAAGAGCCGTGCCACCCTTTCCTGGCACAAATGGGAGGAGGTCTCTCGCTCATTTCTGCGTATCTTCCAGCTGGCGCATCTCCGCAAAGAGACTTTGGAAATGCTGATGCTTCTCTTTTTTTCTCGCAACAGCCAGGATTTGTCTTGTCAGTGTTGTTTCCCGGCTGACTGGCTTCTGCTTAGTCCCAAATTAATGAAAACCTCGAGTTACTGCACCCAGTGTGGCAGTTGGGTCAGAAGTGGCAGGATGGAAGCTAGTATATCACCGGTGCCCTTGCTTCCCTTGTACAGATTGAAGGGAGTGTAGGGACCTGCAAGGCAGATGGTCACGATGGACAGAAAGACTAAGTCTAAGACAAGGCTTTGAAATGAGACTCTCTGCTCCTAACGGGTGTCAAAGGGGTCAACATGGTCAGACATATCCAGAAGTACTGGCAGACCAGAGAAAATTTCTACTACTATTTTTTTATGGCTTCCTCAGCTATGGGAGAGATCCCAAACATTTTTT